CCTTGCAAATGTGATGCAAGCAGAGGTTCCAGAGCTGGCCCTCCCTAGCCCCTAGGAACTCTTTCATCATCCTGTAAACAAGCCCAGACTGGCTTCCCAGAGGGGGAGAATGTGCACAAAGGGAAGCTCCAGTCACCCCAGCCCAGATAGGCCATTCCAGACCACTCCACCCAAACACATCAGGCCACATCAGAAGAACCACCACCAGCTGATCCACAGAATGATGTTTAAAAAAAAAAAAGGCAATTTTTTTAAACTACTAAATCCTGGGTGGTTTGTTTCATAGTTCAACTGATACACTCAACATTATCTTCCATTTCCGGAACTCTAGCTTTACTTCAACCTTCTGGTGAGTTTGCAGAATTGAGCATAAGCAGAAATGTAACATGAAAGATAAAAATGGGCTGGTTTTGTTTTGCTTTGTTGATTGAACCTAACACATGAGGAAAATATTTTCAAGTGTTCCTTGAAACTTCCTCCTCCTCAAATTTCTCAACACCATCAGAATAACCTCTGGGATTCTAGCCGAGGCACACTCATACAAGTGACTAGGTTTAGTAGGTATAGGGAAGGTCCCAGTGGCATTATTTGTAAGACTATAAAACTGGAAAACACCTAAATATCAACCATTAGGAAAAAAGATAATAAATCATGATCTAAAATAAGACATATGAAAAAGCAAATGGTTCAATGATTTTTCAAACAAGCAATCAGAAGATGAGTTTTTTGTTTTTAACTTTTTTTTAGTTGTCGATGGACCTTTATTTTGTTTATTTATATGCAGTGCTGAGAATCGAACCCAGTGCCTCACACATGCTAGGCAAGCGCTCTACCATTGAACCGCAACCCTAACCTGGGAGATGGGGGGGTTTTTTGGTTTTTGTTTTTAAATATTAATTTTTAGTTGTAGTTGAACACAATACCTTTATTAATTTATTTTTATGTGTGCTAAGGATCAAACCCAGGGCTTCACATGTGCTGGGCGAGCGCTCTACCACTGAGCCACAACCCCAGCCCTGGGAGCTGAGTTTCAATCCGACATTATTCACTAGAAACTGCCATCCAGGCATGAAGCCCTTCCTTAGCTCACAGGTATACAGCAAGGGGCTGGTATAGACTGCCAGAGTCAAGGGTGGGATATTTATAATTATTTCTTTATTAAAAAAGGCTCAAAGATATTTTTTAAATGTAACTTTTTTCCCCTGGGCATTATAGATTTTTTAAAATGTCTTGCTCAATTATTACTCACGTAAGTCAAAAAATGGAAAACCCAAATGTCCATCAGCTGATGAATGTGTCCACACAACAAACTATTATCCAGCCATAAAAAGGAGTAAAGTGGTTTCAGGATTCTGGTTCTGCATGTAAAGAGCTTGGAAGTCTCCACTCTATCCTCACAAGTAAAAAGCTCGATAAAAACAAACACAAATCTACAATTTTCCTAGATCCATAAGACAGGTGAGGTCCAGCTGCTGACCCCAAAATGGAGAGAGAGGTGAATGAATACAGAGAACCACAACTGCCCAGACCAGACACCCAACCGTGGAGACCCCCAAGGCAATCAGAGCTGGGCAGGGAAGCCTGATCTGTAAGGATACGTTGCTGGAGGCTCTGGGTGGACAAGTCCAAGAATTAAAAACTCCAGAGGCCCCAGGCATCAGAGAGCCTCCGTATTTTTATGGCTTTACCTTCAAGAGCTCTACCACGTTCTCAGTGTGACTATCTGAGAAAAACTCTCCCAAGCCTTATGGGAGGGTCAGGGAAAACAGAAGCATTCTGAAATACTCCAAGTAATCTATACTTAAGGAGATGTGCCCTCAGGAGAAACTAACCAGAGCCTACCCTGAAGAAGTTTTATCTGAGACCATCTGACCTGTGGGGAGGGAGATACCAAGTCCAGCCCACACCAGCCATCCAGTCCCAGCCCAGGGAGGAGCAGAGGAACTCAGGAGAACCAGTGGAGTTTACAGTCCAGAGGCACAGGTCTGCTAAAGGACAGAGACCCAGCCACAGGGTAGCGAATCCCCTCCTCCTTTGCCTCACCACCACCCCCAAAGGCCTATCACAACAGCTCCTTTGACCCAGTACATCAGATCTGACTATCAAGAAAAAATAAAAGGTACAGGAAGACAAAAGCAGAATCACATGATAGAGATGATGGAATGAATTATCACAAAGAATTTAAAACAACTATAACTTGTATGTCAAGGGTTCTAATGGATACGTAGACAGAATATAAGAACAAAGGAGCAATGTACAGAGAAGTAGAAGTTTGAAGAAAGAACAAAAAAGAAATGCTAGAGAAAAAACAAAGCCCTATAACAGAAATGAATAATGCCTTTGATGGTCTTAGCAGATTGGACATGGCTGAGAAAAGACTCTCTGAACTTGATGATACCTCAACAGCAAACTCCAAAACTGAAGCAATGAGAAAAAGGATTGGAGAAGAAACAAAACAAAACAAACAAACACACACAAAAAAAAAAAAAAAAAAGAGAGAGAGAAGAGAATCCAAGAACTGTGGGGCAATACAAAAGATGTGACATACAGGTATAGGAATACCAGAAGAGAAAAAATGTTTGAAACCATGACAGAATTTCTCCAAATTAATGGCAGACACCTAAACAAAGATTCGGGAGTTCAGAGAAAACCAAGGAAAATGCCAAAATATCTATGTCTAGACATATTGTTTGCAAAATACAAAAAAAAAAAAGAAAGAAAAATTAATCCCGAGAGAAACCAAAGAGGGGCAAAGGTAAGATTCACATCCAGCTTGTCCTCAGAAACCACGAAGGCAAGGGAGCGCAGGGAAACGGAAAGTGGAGAGAAAAAACAGAGCACCTCAAAACTCTGTGCCTTGCAATATTATTTTTCAAAAATGAAGAAGAAATATGTACTGTATCTCAAACAAACAAAAAATGAGGGAATTGTAACCAGTAGACCTGCCTTATAGGAAATGTTAAGAGAAGTTCTTAAACCAGGAAGGATAGTGCACGCCAGCTATTCAGAAGACTGAGGCAGGAGGATCACAAATTTGAGGCCAGCCTGGGAAACTAAGCTTGATCCTGTGTCAAAATAAAAAATAAAAAGGGCTAGAAACGAATACCCCAGGGTTCAATCCCCTCTACCACACCAAAAAAAAAAAAAAGCACAGGGATGGCACTGGGGATATAGCTCAGAGGTAGAGCACTGACTGGCCTAGCACATGCAAGGACCTGGCTTCAATCCCCAGTACTGTAAAAAGGAAAAAAAAGGGGGACCAGGGGGTGTGCAACGGAGATGAAGTACGAATGCGACATCAGAGATGAATCTTGAAAATATTATGGTGAGTAAAAAAAAAAAAAAAACCCAACAGGAAAGGCCATATAGTATGTGATTCCATTTAAATGAAATGTTCAGAATAGGCAAATCTATAGAGATTCAAAGTAGATTAGACGCTGTCAGGAGTTGGAGGTATGGGAAAGGTTGTGACTGCAAAGGAGTTTCTTCCTGGAGTTATGAAAACGAATTGAAAAATGAATCCGTGGTAATAGCTGCATGATTCTATGACTGTATTAGAAACCACTGAGTTGCACAAAACCTAAATTGGGGAATAGTATAGTATGCAAGTTATATTTCAATAAAGTTGTTAGAAAGATAACAAAATAACAAATACGATTAAATTTTTAAAATGTATCTCTCAGTGTTCCATAAGGTAGAATGCAGGTCCTTACATAATATAAACATGCATACTTAAATCCTGGTTAAGGGGCTGGGGATGTGGCTCTCAAGCGGTAGTGCGCTCGCCTGGCATGCGTGCGGCCCGGGTTCGATCCTCAGCACCACATACAAACAAAGATGTTGTGTCCGCTGAGAACTAAAAAATAAATATTAAAAAATTCTCTCTCTCTCTCTTAAAAAAAAAAAAGATGGGGAAGGAAATGGTTTAAAAAATAAATAAATAAATAAATAAAAATAAATCCTGGTTAAAATCTTAGTCTCACCATTGTTGCAATACAAGGATAATTTTTAGTTACTGAGGCCTAAACAAGACCCTAAAATGCATGAATTCCAAATTATTTAGATCTGCCCTAATATCTAATAGGGAATTGAAATTAACCAATAAAACCAAGAGTCCCAGACTGATACCCCACGGTGCTCTGACTAATGACCAGGAGCACTGAAAACCTGGATTCTCTGTGAACAGACGCAGAAGTTAATATGCTTCTCTGGGTCTCCCAAAGACTGAATGTGGCCAGCAGGAGGGGAGAGGCAGGGAGGAGATGTGGAGCTGGGTTGGGGGTTTGGCAAAATGTTTTCCTAAGAATTAAAGATATATTTGTTGGACCGTGGAGAGGCTCCATCAACCCCACTGAAGCATCCTAAGACAAATACCCAGCTGACGTCCCAATGCTGCCTCTCTCCTCAGTGCAAACCACTTCATATGGATGTCCCTGTCTCCCGCCTGAACAGCAGGCTGCCAGCATGTTAATTTCCATTTTCTATCTCTCAGCATTTAGCCAAGTGCAATACAATCAGCAAGCGACGAAGAAATAAAGCAAATTCATAAAACAGATAACTTACATGGTAACAGGTATGATGTAAAAGAATCCCCCACTTCCAGAAAGATTCACTGAAAAGTTCTTTAGGGAACAAGCTCCCTAACAGTATTGGGACATAAGATAGATTTATGAAAAGAAAAAAAAAAAAAAAAGCCCTCAACCTTCCCAGGAAGGAGTCAACCATGAAAGCTGTGGGAGGCTGGGCTGAACTGACCACCCTTGCTGTCAAGGTCCTTGCCCTCACGGAGCACAGCAAAAGAAAGAACTCAAAAGCAGTTGCATTGTGAAGAAACCCCTCTCCCTGTAAGGAATCCAGATACAGACAAAACTTCCAACTGAACTGAAGTCAGTTGGGCCCAAGGGTTTAGCAATAGCCCAGAGGCCCAAGAATAGAGAGAGATTCGGCCTCGGATCAGAGAGGGCTAGAGCCCAAGCAGAGGGAAGGTGCTGGGCCCTCACCTCAGGTATCAGCCGCCTCCTCTTCACGCTGGGGACAGAATCTGGCTGGCCCTCGCTGCCTGGCTGCTTTCGTTTGCTGGAGTCCTGGAGGGCGGCAAAGACGCTGTCCAGAGGGTGCTTCTCTGAAGGCTTGGAATTCAGTGAGCAGTCCAGGGCAGCATCTTCAGCCTCCGTCTCCACCTTCACAGTGTTATTTTTAAGAACTGTGCAGAGAAGAAATAGGACTTAGGGCCACTGAGAGATTGGCAGGGTTCTCTGAACCACAGGTGTTTGAGGATCACCCACTGACACTGTCACTCAGAGAATAACATCTATCTAGTCATATACCTGTGCTTTCCAGCAAAGTGATCTCTATCTTACTAAACTAGTGCTACACAACAAAACCATGTTCTAAGTTCAAAATTGGTCTGTAAGTCTTTTGGGGGGAGAGGTGGGATATGGAGAGAACTAAATATTAACTGTATTGCACTTTTAAAAAATACATAAGATACTTATAACAAGTGTTGAGTAGAGGGGGATGGGAGCAGGCAGTAGGAGACTTTACATTATATTCCCTTCTACATTTTTAGAGTATGTAATATATGACCTATTCAAAAATATTAAATGAGAAACGTTTATTTACCTTCTTCTACATCTTCACCGAATTCAGCTGAGTTCATCTTCTATTCCACTAAATAAAAACACAAACACAAAGCCTTCATTTATTGCTTGATTTACTTCTTAATATTCCCTATCCACAGAGAAATTCCCTTGCCCCGGCTCTGTGCAGTAGGAGGTTAAAGGTCATGTAGCACTGTGCAAGAGCCGGCCTCCTAATCTTGTCTGCAGATGCTCAGGAGCAGTCAGGCCTGGCCGGCAGGGAGCCTCTCTCCAAGACTTCACGTGGGCAAAACCTGTCTTCAAGCATCCATTGAGAGCCACTTACTGAACCAGGGGAATATTACTTGAGCAAATTAAGTCCTGCAAAAGACCCCAATTTAGATGATCACCTTTTAGACCCTGCTTATAAAACCCTAGCCATGACACGAAAGAAGAGAGACTGTGGGCCCCAACACATGGAGCTGAGGTCTCAGCACTTCAGGTAGCCGAGAGACCTATGGTGCCCATGAAGGCAGCCACTAGATACATGTGACTACTGAGGACTCTAAATGTGGCCAGCCCAAATGGAGACATGCCCCAGGTGTGACATACATACCAGATTTCAGATTTAGCTTAGTTTAAAAAAAAAAAAAGTAAAACACCTCATTCATAATCATTTTACATTGGTCACATTGAAATGATAGTATATCAGACTTGATGGGCTACAAAAAAACTGTATTAAAATTCAAGGCCAGTCTGGACCTTTAGTGAGATTGTATCTCCAAAAAAGGAAAAGGAAAAGGCTGGGGAAAAGGGGCAGAATGTAAAGCCATGAGCCATGGGTTAGATCCTTTATACTACAAAACAAAAAACACCTCACCTAGTCTTTAAACATAGCTATAAGAAACTTAAAACTACATATGGGGTCCCCTTATATTTTTACTGGATGATGCTAGCCTAGCCCTTCCTTCCACAACAGGGACAGAAAGGCACTGAGGGTTTTTCAGTGCAGGGCTTCAGAACTCTATAGACAATCAGGTTCAAAAGATCAGGTGAGGGCAAGAGGCAGGATGTGTGGGGGGTGCTCTGTCTAGGCAGAGCCAGCCCTGACTCCCACTGCCCCAGGCAGGATGGAACTAACAACATCATTAAGTATAAGGTACAAATGAGTTACCAACATTTGGAAAAAAAAGGTACACTGCAACCTTTAATATTGACATTGGGGAGTTGTTGTTGAACAACTGATTAAGGTGGCTGCAAACGCAGAGTTCTCATTTGGGTAAAAGATAGAAGGAAATAGGACCAAGGAATATCCCTGGAGACTTTTTTGTAAGAGGGATGCCAACTACATCATCCAGTAAACCATTCAAGGGAGAGTTATGGAATGGTGTATGTTCAATATATTGTCCTGTTTAATAGGGCAGGATGCAGGAGACAACAGAGACTGTATCTAGGTGACCTATGTAAAAGTCACTAATAACAGCAACACATATGTAGTGCCTATTAGGTGAAGCCCTGTTCTCAGAGGATCACAATAACCCTGAGTTAGACACGATTGTTTTCATCCCTGTATTACTAATTTTCAGAGGCTAAAAAAGAAAATAAGATATATTTGAAATTTAAAATAATCTCCTACCTGAAAAAAAAAATGGATACACAAAGTGATATTGAAGGAAAACAAAAAGTCAACTTCAAGGGTTCATCAATTATTTTACCAGCAGTCAAGCTTTAGTGACTCATTCCATTGTATTTCCAGATATAAACCTTGCATCTGATTCTGGGTGTGTCTGAGTGGACCAGAGGGCTGCTAATGCCAGGCAGAAACTCAGAACTGACTCCTGGCCCAGCCTGAGGGCCTATCAGGCAAAACACTTGAGGCCAGCCCAGTGCCCTGAGCTTGCCAAACGCCCTTGCAAACTCTGCCACACAGTCACATAACCTGTTGCCTCCAATCAAGGGCAGGGGCGAGAGCAGCAGAACAGATGGGGAGGAGTGAGTGAGGCAGGTACACTATATACAAACTACATTCTTGACAGAAAAGGGAGAACACGGCTGATAGTTTATTTGAGGGAAAACAGGCAAAAATACTGCAAAGACTCTGGCTAAGCAGAAAAGCATTGAAAGGCCAGACTAACCCTAGAAAACAGGAGTGGATGAAAGAGCACAGCAGACAAGCCCAGGAGCTGAGATTCATCTGTCATTACACTTGCCCACCCATGTTTCTCTGATGCCAGTCACATACAGAGCAGTGTGCAGGCGGGAGGCAGGTGCTGGGTGGAGTCTATGCAATGGGACTTGGTGAGCAGGAAGCTATGTTCTGAACCACCACCAGATGACATTACACCAGGCAATTTGGCACCTTTCAATTGTGAGCCCTCCTGAAACTGACAAAGAAAGAGCAGACATGTGAGCCACCTGTAGGTGGGAGAAGAGCTGTGGGGGAGCTAGGAAGGGTTAGGGATGAGGTGAGGGGAAGGGGCTGCGGGCTGCCTGGGCTTTCGAGACACCCAGAGTGCATCTGCTTTGGAAAACATTTCTGTGTTCTTTTGTCAACTAGTGGCAGATGCTAGGTTAGCACAGAAATAACCCAGAACACAGGCAGATAGCCATGCGCTTGAGAGGGTGGGGAGTCTCCCAATTGCAAGGCCTGGAAAACCTGCAGCTGCCTCTGGCCGCTATGGGGAGGAGTGAGTCAGGGTCCTCTTTAACATCCCAGCCCACGAGCTGCATGCCCAGCACCAAGCCCCAGTGGCCACTGTGCCTCCGCCTCTTCCTGAGCTATTTTAATCCCACCTTCACCAATCAAGAAACTCGCTGTGTCATTCTGCAACTGAGTGAGAACCAGGGTTCAAAGCGAGTCTGTCTGTACCTCCGTCAGCCAGTCGGAGGAGGAAACAGAGTTCTCATTCTTCTTCTGGTAAGGTGCTTTCGATGAACACAGGGCCCGCTTCCAGACTCGGGTCGCTTAGTCCAGCAGCAGCTGGGGACACATGAGTCTCCTTTCACCACAAGGAAGCTACCTGGAAAGTCAGTCTGCTGGGGGGTGGGGGGGCTGGGAAACAGACTCCACCCCACAGTGGGGGAAAGTTTCTGCAGCAGGGCACGCAGGTCACTCCCTGCATCCCTGAACAGAGACAGCTCAGCAACAATGTTGCAGCTGGGTAGAAAGGAGCTGAGTATTGCCTAGCGACCTCCATTTGCTGGTCACCTGTTCAGTGGAGGGTCACAAGCTCTGCTCTTCGTGGGTGGACACGGAGCACCCAGATGCCTGGCATGCCACAGACATTCCTTTCGATTGCATAACTGCAGGTTGTGCAGGAGCCACGCAGCGAGCAGCCTCTGCAGCTCAGCTTCACTGCTCCTGCCGTGCCAGGTTGCTGCCATTAGTCACCTGTGCCTGTGGACTGTGTGGAATCTCTAGTCCCAGCATTCTCTCCTTTGCAAAACCTTATGCTTCTCAGCACAAACCTCAAATTGTGGGGCACTCTAACCATGCACATCCCCCCAAATCAGTTTCCTACCTGAGGGGTGGCTGTTCCATATCCCTCAAAAAACTCTGCACAAGCCAAGGGAAGAGTTAAATGAATGGAGGAGGAGAGGAGAATCACCAAGACCTATGCAGCTAGCAGCTGTTTCTTGTTAAAATGCCACAGGTTGCAAGATGCTGTTAACTCTCAAACAGCACCAGCCTTCCCCCGTGCCTTATTTAGTTAATGAAAATGCTCCCACTCCCGCTCCCCCATAGGAGCTGGGGATTGAACCCAGGGCCATGCACATGCTAGGCAAGTGCTCAAGCACTGATCTACACTCCTCAGTGCCTCCCTGCTTTTTAAAACAAATAGCCTAGAAAGAAGCCTTAGGTAAGGTGACTGTGGATAACACAGAAAGGTTCAAAATGTTGCAGAGCTCAGAGAAGTAATTTTATTAAAATGTCTTCTAGTCTCCATCCTACATGGAGTGAGAAGGGCAAACCTTAATCTTCCATTTAGGGTGTGTGGTTGGGGAAGATTAGTAGGTCAGCAGGAAAGCTTTCAGTTTACAAAAAGCACCAAGGGAGGGTAATTCCAAATGTTCAGAAATAACAGGATGCTTTAGCCACTCAAATATCAAATTACAATGGACAAGGTGTTTAAATTGGCTACAAAGATACAGTAACTTGCAGGACTTGTGGTAACCCTGTGTCTCATGCTAGAACAGGGATGAATCTGAACCCTGCCCATCAACAGGCACCTGGCTTGAGGTTGGTAGGGAAGCTGAGGGGGGAGAACTGTGAATGTAAGGCTTAGAACAAACCATGCCACAAAGAAATAAAAATCCCAAACAGTTACAGATTATAGGACATGTTGCACTTTTAGAGTTCATCTTAAAAGGAAGATACTTAAAGTATTTTTTTCTTTGTAAATATTCTTTGTACATATTCAGGTACAATATGTTAAGTTGAACAAAATTCAAATGGATTTTGAGTTTAAAAGTGCCCTGTACAACCACTGAGTTACTGTTTTGGAGGCAAACATGATCACTTTCTCCAGCCCTTCCACAGTTGTCTCTATCAATGGTTCTCAAAGTGCAGTTCTTAAAAAGGGTTGCCAGCAGCAAGCTCACATGGCTTGCACCCATATTGTGACTCTCCCAGACTCCACCATTAGTCAGGTGGGTGGTCTCAAACAGGCCATGGTGGGTGCAGTATTAACATCATAGAAATTGATTCTCACTACAAAGAAGGCAGTTTTATTTTTTTTATTTTTGGAGGGTCAGTTTACCATAACAAGATCATGAGATCAAAACTACCTTCATAACAACACTAGATATTACTGCCCTTGTACTCTTGTTCTTTCACAGGTCTGTAGGGGAGTTTTTCAGAGGCTGAATAAAGAGGAAGTATAGAAATTCTTTTTTTTTTTTTTTTTTTTTTTTTTGGTACTGGGAAATAGAACACAGGACCTTGCACACTAGACAAGCATTCTATCCCCAGCCCTCAACTGTCCTCTATTAAGCCAGATATTAAAAGAGATTTGCACTAGGCATGTTTTTGTATGTCTGTCATCCCAGATATTTTGGGAGGCTGAGAAAGGAAGCTCACCAAGTTGGAG